CCCTCTAAAATGGTTATGATAGCCCATTGTTATAAGAGTAAGTTAATATTGTTGAAGTACACGGGGCAGTGCCTGGCACATAGCAAGTACTAAGTAAGATATACATAAATGAAAACAACAGTGATGTGTTTAATACTATTTCCCCAATATCAAACCAGAAGCCAAATGTGCCAAGGTGATGGAATGGCTGAGGCTACATATAGAGGGCAAGAGCTCCAAGGTCATCCCTTCTCCATGGAGGGGAAAGCTTCTCTTCCAACCATGAACATTTCTGTGCAAGACATACATGTTTGGTCCAATCCACTAATTTGACCAAGAAGACAATTTGAGCACAGCGGAGTCAGGGTTGCCCTGTTCAGAGGGAGGCGGAGCAGGACCCGGACTGGACCCACAGCTGGCAGTCCTTCTCCCTCCATTTAGTGAATTCAATAGCTGCAGTATTGATCTCACATTGTTACTAGCCTTCTCCACGACTTGCAACCCATTTTTCTACATCCTGAAGCAGCGTTACATTTATAATCACGAGGCCCTCTGAGGATGTTTGATGTCTCAAGGGACACAAAATTCAAAGTATCAAGAAAATATTAGCTGAAATTTTTTCTTGTACCCACAGGTTTTGGCTTGAATTTGCTGTTTGTTGTTGTTCATTTGGTAAGTTGTGGTGACTCTCTGGAACCCCCCTGGACTGTAGCACCCCAGGCTCCTCTGTTTTCCACTGTCTCCCAAAGTTTGCTCAAATTCATGTCCATTGAGCTGGTGATGCTATCTAACCACTTCATCTTCTGCTGCCCACTTCTTCTTATGCCTTCAGTCTTTCCCAGCATCAGGGTCTTTTCAAATGAGTCAGTTCTTCAAATCAGGTGGCCAACGTATTGGAGTTTCAGCTTCAGCATCAGTCTTTCCAATGAATATTCAGGACTAATTTCCTTTAGGATGGACTGGTTTGATCTCCTTGCAGTCCAAGGGACTCTCAAGAGTCTTCTCCAACACCACAGGTCAAAAGCATCAATTCTTCAGCGCTCAGCTTTCTTTATAGTCCAACTCTCACATCCATATATGACTAATGGGGAAAGCCATAGCTTTGACTATATGGACCTTTGTCAGCTAAGTGATGTCTCTGCTTTTTAATACACTGTCTAGGTTTGTCATAGCTTTTCTTCCAAAGAGCAAGCATCTTTTAATTTCATGGCTACAGTCATTGTCTGCAATGATTTTGAAGCCCAAGAAAATGAAACCTGACGCTGTTTCCACTTTTTCCCCATCTATTGCCATGAATTAATGGGACCAGACATCATGATCTTAGTTTTTTTTATGTTGAGTCTCAAGTCAGTTTTTTCACTTTCCTCTTTCACCTTCACCAATAGGCTCTTTTAGAATACCATAAATACCACTGAAAGAAAAATTAAAAGGAAACAAAATCAAACAGTAAATACAACACAAGAAGGACATTTTGGAATTGATTAAAAATCTGCTATCCTTCAAAGGTCCCTCCAATCACAACTTGTACTTCCCGAATGCATTTCATACACTGCTGGTTTATTTCTCTCTCTGTCCGTTCTATGGAGTCTAAGGCAGGGGTGGTCACTATGAACTCGGTGCACATAGCAGCCAGAGCACAGTGCCAGGCGCATGGCAAATCTTACAGATATTGGCTGCTGCCTTGGACGGTGATGTGGACCCAGGCCCACAAGGAGAATGTTTCCCAGAGTGTGGCATGTCCTCCACTGCTGTCCCTTTAGATTTTAAGTAGAAAAAGAGATGATTTTAGCTAGGACATGGACAAGGTATTGAACAACACTGGATTACATAATGGGGCTTCCCTGGTGGCTCAGATTGTAAGGAATCTGCCAGCAATGAAGGAGATCTGGGTTCCATCCCTGGGTCAGGATGATCCCCTGGAGTAGGAAACGGCAACCCCCTCCAATATTCCTTCCTGGAGAATTCCATGGACAGAAGAGCCTGGTGGGCTACAGTCTGTCCACGGGGTTACAAAGAGTGGGACATAACTAAGCAACTCAGACACACACATACCATCTTGATAGGGGAAAGGGCATGTTGACTCAGAGGAGAATAAATGAGTTTGGGGAAAGATGAATGAGCCCCTAGAAGGATGGACGGGTGGTACGATCATTTGTGACACTGTGTCTGCATGTGGCATCCACCTCTGCTCTCCCTTCCTTTCCTCCTCAATCTTCCCTGGTCGACGAAAACTCTGGGGGAGGAGATTCACGACAACAGAGTTCCTTTCTGAGGATCTGTCTTTAGGCAGATAAGGGAAGTTCAGAGAAAGTCTCTCCCTGCATTTTCTGCTTTGTTTTTTTAATGTATATTTCTGTATTTGGCGGCATCAGGTCTTAATTGTGGCAGGATCTGGAGTGCTCGGGCGCAGTAGTTGCTGTGTGAGGACTTAGCTACCCAGAGGCATGTGGGATCACAGCTCTGACCAGGGATCAAACCTATGTCCCCTGCATTTGGAGGCGGATTCTTCACCACTGGACGGCCAGGAAAATCCTGCAGTTGCTGTTTTTTAAGTGCTTTCAGTTCAAAATACTCAGTACATCAAAGTGGCACATTTGGGGGCAAGCATGTCCGTGAGAAGGTAGCATTACAGACAGAGGGAGCCTAGAAGCAAGAATCACTGTCTGAGTCATTTTCAAAATAGCTGCCCTAGAAAGTCATCTGGCTCATACTGGATTTTATATAAGTGAAAACATAACCCTTTGCTGTGTTAAGCCAAAATGATACCAGGGTTTATTTTATTACTGCAACAAAACCCTTTGTATACTGACTAATCCAATAAATTAAAAAAGAATTTAAGTATAAAGGCATAAATTGAAAGAAAATATTAACTAGATAAGGGTTCGATACCTGACAAAGATTTTGAAAGTGGTGCTCAAATGCCACTTAGTGTTGTGGAGTCTTAGAACTGAACCTCCAAAATAGTTGCGAGCAGGACCCACCTGCCTACGGCCAGGAAAATCCTGCAGTTGCTGTTTTTTAAGTGCTTTCAGTTCAAAATACTCAGTACATCAAAGTGGCACATTTGGGGGCAAGCATGTCCGTGAGAAGGTAGCATTACAGATAGAGGGAGCCTAGAAGCAAGAATCACTGTCTGAGTCATTTTCAAAATAGCTGCCCTAGAAAGTCATCTGGCTCATACTGGATTTTATATAAGTGAAAACATAACCCTTTGCTGTGTTAAGCCAAAATGATACCAGGGTTTATTTTATTACTGCAACAAAACCCTTTGTATACTGACTAATCCAATAAATTAAAAAAGAATTTAAGTATAAAGGCATAAATTGAAAGAAAATATTAACTAGATAAGGGTTCGATACCTGACAAAGATTTTGAAAGTGGTGCTCAAATGCCACTTAGTGTTGTGGAGTCTTAGAACTGAACCTCCAAAATAGTTGCGAGCAGGACCCACCTGCCCTCACTGGATCTCCTCTGAATGACCAGAACCAGGACGGGGTCACATGCAGCCTGGAGCTACAAAACAGAACGGGGTGGGCGAGGGGGATAGACATTTGGGGCACTAAGTCTGAACCCCTGCCTCCTTGGAAACCAGCTGAATGAACAACTGTAAACATTAGAAGCAGTATAATTAGAATCATTAAGAGGCTGGAAGAAGAGAAAAAATTACCTACTTTTCCTTGGGCAGCATGATACACTCTTACTGCTTTTTCTTTCATAAAACTCCACTTTCTTATAGCCCTGTCATGTCTATGGACTGCATATATGCCTCAATACCACAACTTCAAGGCTAATTTTTCATTTTTCTGTCTTCATGTTCTGATTTGGATTGAAGTCCGAACTATTTGTTCACTCTCAATGCGAAAGACATGGGAATAGACACACATAGTTCCATCTCGGGGATGATTTAATATTAATCAAAAATTATATTGTTTCAAAGTAGGAAACAAGGCCTAAAGAGTCAGCTGCTTCTACATAAGTTCTCTTCTCTAAAGAAGGGCTGGAAGGATTGATCTTGAGACTTAGATATCTTTGGGGCCCCGTGACAAAGTAGGAAAAACACAAAACAAGTCTGATTCCAATGTGAGTGTAGCTGTTTGTCTTTGGGCCAGTTGTGTTACTTCTCTGTGCCTGTGATTCCCATCCCCCCAAATGGAAGGATTAGCTGTTACTCCAACCAGATAACTAACACTGCTGTGAAAGCAGATGATAGCTATGGAAGTACAAATTGTATTACTACTGGCTAACGTATCTTGAGTTCTTCCTACATAGCAGATACGCTACTGCATGGTCTGTGCATGTGAAGTCATTTAATCCTCAGAGCAGACAAATGCAGTAACCATGATATTATTATCCCCTTACACAGATGAAAAAGACCAAGACTTAGCTGGAAAGAACTTCCTAGAAGTTGGTAAGTCAATTGGTTACTAAGAGGTGGGGCCAGAGCTCAAAGTCAAGTGCATGTGGCCACAGAGACCGCAGCCACCGCGTTCCGTTGCCTCCCAGAAAGGACAGGCTGCCAGGGAAAGCAAAGCGTGGGTTGCTGTTGACTCCTCCGTGTGATTCTTTGGATGTCACACAGCCCCGGGTTTTTAAGCTATGTCCGGCTTCACAGGGTTAATCTGAATAATCTGAATCAGGCAGGGGTGGACGGGCAGGCGACAGCCAGCACTGCCTGAGTGCACAAGGCCGCTTAGCAACGGGGGAAACAAGTGGCTCTCCAGAAGGAAGGGAAATAGCCTCAGGGTGGGTGGAGGAAGGAGGGCAGGCGGGCGAGGGGTCGGGTCCTGGCAAGTCTGGGAGTGTGTGAGCGGGGTGGGCAGTGCGGGCTTTGACCCCCGCAGGCACGCTCTTGGAGAGGATCTCGTGGGGAGGGCACGCCACCACTAAGTGCTTTCTTGTCAAGCAAGAAAGATCACAGGGTGTTTGGACACCCAGATTCTGTGTCTCTTTGGTGCTCTCTCCCCGGCACCATATGGATGGTGTACGTGATGCTGGGCTTTTGAAAGTTTAAACTTGGGGTCCAGTTGCAGACCGCGGCGCCCGGTGGGAGTCATTATGGCGGCCGAGCGCAAAACTAAGTTATCCAAGAACTTGCTGCGCATGAAGTTCATGCAAAGGGGACTGGACTCGGAAACCAAGAAACAACTAGAAGAGGAAGAAAAGAAAATCATTAGTGAAGAGCACTGGTACTTGGATTTGCCTGAGCTGAAAGAGAAAGAGAGTTTCATTATAGAAGAGCAGAGTTTCTTGTTGTGTGAAGATCTTCTCTATGGAAGAATGTCATTCAGAGGATTTAATCCTGAGGTTGAGAAATTAATGCTTCAGATGAACGCTAAGAACAAAGCAGAAGAAGTTGAAGAGCAAACAGTGGAGCTCGATGTGTCAGATGAAGAAATGGCTAGAAGATATGAGACCTTGGTGGGGACAATTGGGAAAAAGTTTGCCAAGAAAAGAGACCGTGCCCTTTACGAAGAAGATGAAAATGGAGACATAAAACCAATTAAAGCAAAGAAGATGTTCTTAAAGCCCCAAGATTAAAGTGGAGGCCTTAAGATATGGCTCAGGGATGAGAGCATCTTTTGGAACTCACTCTGTCAGTTCCTCTATAGTGATTAGGGTCGTAATGTTTATTTGTAAAGAAATGTATACTTTTGGAAACATGCTGTTTTTGGAACAGACGTGTGATGGATGTTATACATCCTTTGCTTAGCGGTGTTCATCAAGAGTGGACTTTTAACCCTTGGTCTCCAAATGTACATAGGTGTGTGGTAGCTTCCTAAAGAATATTTTATCTCAGATTTTTTTTCTAATGTAACTCTCCAGTCGCAAACCTTAAACTGAACTCATGAAAACTAATACCAATGTTTAAATTGCCCTTATGTTGATAAACATGTCAAGTCAGTTCATACATATATTTTGGAATCATGTCATGAGAATTTATTCTATGTTAATTTATTAAGAACAAACTTGACTCTTCGGGTTAAGAATTTTCATGCTACAAAGTCAATGTCAATGTGTGGAATTATGTTTTTTGTTGTTGTTTAAGCCTTTAATTACTTTTTAGACATTGTTCTATAATAAATACCTGTTTTCATATTAAAAAAAAAAAAGAAAGTTTAAACTTGAATGCTATTCACTTAACCAATCTAATAGTAGTGTTAGTTGTTCAGTCATGTCCTATTTTTTTCAACCGTATGGACTGTAGTCTTCCAGGCTCCTCTGTCCATGGGATTCTCCAGGAAAGAACACTGGAGTGGGTAGCCATTTCCTTCTCCAGGAGATCTTCCCGACCCAGGGATTGAACCCAGGTCTCCCTCACTGCAGGCGGATTCTTTACCACGGAGCCAACTGGTCACTATGATTATGATGTGCCAGAGCCCACAAAGAAAGCAGAAAATGGAAATCCCTGGTCATCTGAGTCCAACATAACCTTGGCATATAGGCAGCCTGCAGATGGTGAGCAGAGGTACCAACCCTCAAAGGGACTAAATTGTGGAAGCACAGCCTGAGGATGGGCCGGAGGGACAATGAGACTCCCCAGAGCCAAGGTCTACTAAGACACTTGAGAGGAGAAAATTCCAGATTAATCTTAAGAAAGCCCCAATACTTTGGCCACCTGATGCGAAAACCTGACTCATTGGAAAAGACCCTGATGCTGGAAAAGATTGAAGGAGATGAGATGAGATGGTTGGATAGCGTCACCGAGTCAATGGACGTGCACTTAAGCAAACTCTGGGAGAGAGAGGACAGAGGAGCCTGGCGTGCTGAAGCCCACGGGGTCGCAGAGTCAGAAACAACTTAGCGACTGAACAACAACAATAAGGACCCAAAGAAGCCCCATTCATCCAGATGAGAAAGTATGGGCTATTCAAACTTCCATCTAAAAAGTATGAGGAGGTAAAATGGATACTCCTGTCCTTTTTAGTGTGGGTTATTTCTGTTCTTCTACACAATTAGAGAGGAACAGGGAAGCTGCAACTCAAATACGTCCATGAAAATTATATCTCCAAAGAATTATTTTTAATTTTGTTGAGGGTGCTGTGTTTATCTTTTTCTTTTTAAAGAGGTATTTTGAAGTGGGATAAGATAATGTGGTGTCCGGAATAAGCTTTAAAATAATTTAACAAAGAATAAAAAAGAAAAAGGAAATGTTTCAAATCACTGATAACTTTTTAAAGTTTGTAAATCTTTCTTGAATTTGTTAAAATATTTCTTCTGCTTTATGGTTTGGCTTTTTGGTCTCAAGGCATGTGAGATCTTATCTCCCTGACTAAGAATTGAACCTTCACCCCCCACATTGGAAGGAGAAGTCTTTATCACTGGACTGCCTTGGAAGTTCATTGATAACTGTTTGTCTGAGTGATGAATCTTTGAGGCTTGTACTATTCCTACTGCTTTTATGTGTGCTTGAAATTTTTCATGAAAAATAAAATGTATTCCTAGAACAGACACCAAAAAGAAACAAATGAACAGAAAACAAAAGTGTGCAAATGTGCCCAGTTCTTTGACTTGAGTAACTTCAAAATATCTGCAAATCTCAACAAAATCTTCATGCCTAAGCTCTCTCTCTCCTTAAGAGCCACTTTGTGAAAATTAATCAGACGACATCATTATTAATGTGGGGAATTAGGAGAATGACAAATTAAGAAAAATTTGTTTCTGGAAAAAAAAAATAGAGACTGGGTACCAGGAAGCTGGAGGATGTAAAGTGAAGAAATTGTCTTGTGTCTTTCAGGAAGTTGGAAGAATGTCTTCTCACAGGAGTTCTTTGATAGAAATAAAGTACCATGGGGGGAAGACCAGAATATCTGGGCACTACTCTGGTCCTTGGGGCTTCCCAGGTGGCACTAGTGGTGAAGAACTTGCCTGTCAATGCAGGAGATATAAGAGATGCAGATTCAATCCCTGGGTAGGGAAGATTCCCTGGAGGAGGGCATGGCAACCCACTCCAGTACTCTTCCCTGGAGAATCTTAGGGACAGAGAAGCCTGGTGGGCTAGGGTCCATAGGGTTGCAAAGAGTTGAACACAACTGAAGCTTAGCAGGCATGCATGCACTCTGGTCCTTGCCACTAAGTTGTTGTCTGTCTTTGAGCATCTCATTCGTGTATTTATTCATCAAACGACTGAAGCACCAGGGTGGGGAGAGAGATTCAAATGGCACCATCTGGCCCTGGGGTTGCTGAGCATCTCTGGGAGAAGATGCTAACTAACCAAGTCTCACTTAGCGTGGTCCAGCACTGCGCTATGAAAGGCATGATGGGGTTGTTGAGGCTCCAGGGGAATGCAGAAGGATGAAGAAGAGAGTAGCATTTGTAGAAAGGGGAGACAAGTATTGCAAGGGGAAGAAACTGCATGAACAAATTTACGGAGGTGGAATATAGAGTTTCAGGGATCTAACTTGTGGCTGGAGTGAGGGGGTGGGGGGAGGGTTAGGGATGTGGCACGGAACACATCCTTCTCACCTGGAGAAGCAGGCAAGGCTCAGATCCATTTGATAATTCTCTCAACAAATAACTATGAGCTCCTACTATGTAGCAGGCGATGTGCCACAGACGGGACACATCAACAAACAAAATAAAGAAAAATATCTGACTTGGCAGAAATTACATTGGTGCAGGTAAAGAAAAAGACTGTAAAGAAAACAAATGAAGATTGAATCCATCAGCCAACGAGCTGACAAGTACAGTAGCAAAACACACCAGTGGGGACGGGTATAGCAACTGGGCGGCGGGGATAAGGAGTGTCAAGGGCATTCAGTTTCAGTTTGAGTATTTGAAACATATTCTGAAGGAAGATAGGAATGAGCTTTGCTGGCAGTTGGAGGAAGAATATTCTGGAAAGCGCTTTTAGGACCTTGCATACCAAGAGGAAAACCTTTGTTCTCAGAACTATGAAAACAGTGGATTTTAATCCGAGGATCCAAACCATCAAACCAGAGGTTTGTAAAGGACCATTTTCATGTGATGGCTCTCTTATGCTGATTCCCACAGAAGGGAAGGTTATAGGGCATGTTTGAGTTGGCCACCTAGTCAGCCACCAAGTCAGCCAAACTTGCCCGATCCTTGGTCACATATCTTACCACTGGGGACACAACTCTCTCACCAGGAAAGAAAGGCCGGTCCATACCCAGGGCTGCCAGCAGCCACCTTAGTACAGGGAAGATTCCTCCAACTGCTCAGCATCTCTCCACATGTTACATATCATGGCCTCACTCTCAGCGGAAGGATGCACCTACACCACCAGCTGGAAATCGTGCTTATTTTAAAAGGAACACCCTATCCGAAAAGGCACATTGCAATGAACATTTCTGAGTAGAGGAGAATGCCACTGTGTCTGTTAATTACCAGAGCCACGTTGTGTGTTCGATGGGACAGGCTGCTGTATAGCCATTTGTATCCGTTCTGCTCCATTAGGCTAATTTGTTTTCAGATATAAATTAAAGCAGCTATTCCGAGCCCACTGAGCTGCCCCTTCACACAAACTCCTTGTTCCGTGGTGAATGAGTTAGCAAGCTGTGTATGTATGTGTAGAAGATATTTCTTTGATTTAATATTGAAGCAAAACAAGAAAAACTGCCCACTGGAGTACAGAAATCATGCATTACAATAGAGTGGTCCTACAAAAGCTCCATGCCTGGGGTAGGTCGAGGGTGTAACTGCTTCCTGATGTGACATCTGCTGTTACACCTTCTGCATCGCAAAGTGCTTGGCCACTGAGAAGATGCCATAGGAATCCTCCTGCCCTTGGGCCAAAGTAGGAGTGCTCAAATAACAGGAATCATCTGGAGGAGCCCGGAGCCATCTGGGCAGGCAGGGCTGGTTAACGTGGGAGAATGAGCCCCCTCCAGGGCTATCATCGCCTAGAATGGCAGAAAGTTCTCTGCCCCCGACATCTTTCCATGCATCTGCCTGGGTGCCACCACTGGTGGCTTCATTAGGTTAAGACAGAGGTTCTCGACTAGGGCTCAACAGGACTGGCTGTTTCGTCTCACCCAGTGAGTGCAAAGTGAAAATGTGGGGCCCTTTGTCCGAAGAGTAGGAAAAATGTTGCTGTCGAAATAAAATACAAAATTTTTTCCTTCTTCTCCAGTCTCTACTTCAACTAGGTACAGTGTTTTTAACTCACTATTTAATGTTACAGTGAGTAAAGAAAACTTAAAATTTTTAACTGTTAGTTTGAATTTCACTGTTTATCTTTACACAGCGCAATGCTAGTTTTAAAGGTGAACAAGACCCTGATGTTGGGAAAGATTGAAGGCAACAGGAGAAGGAGGGCGACAGAGGATGAGATGGTTAGGTAGCATCGCTGACCCAATGGACATGAATTTGAGCAAACTCAGGGAGACAGTGGAGGCCAGAGGAGCCTGGTGTGCAGCAGTCCATGGGGTCGCAAAGCGTCGGACATAACTTAACCTCCGACAACGACAATGTGTATGTTTAACTTATATACATGAGACCACCAAAATTAATAGTTTTCATTCGGCAGCTCATACATGATTTGTATTTCATCCGTACCAGAATGGTGGAAGTATTTCACCATGGACTCACATTGCTTCTTAGTCAGAGGCCTTCTACCAACACTCTCTACCTTTGACTTGCTGAGGAATAAGGAAGAAACAGGAACTAGGGGCTGTCCAACCTTTCCCTTTTCTTCTCTGTCATTGCTTCCAGGATAAGTGGTGAGCTCATACAGTTCTTACTAACTGATCATGTTAGTTTCTTTGTTTTGACAGATGTAATGTGGTTGTGTAAGATCTCAACATCTGAGGAAAATAGTTTAGAAAAGGTATATGGGACTTCTCTGTATTGCCTTTGCAAGTTATATGTAAATCTAAAATTATT